GTCTGGCGGCCTAAACAGAGCAATCAATACTGGGGAGTATGGGGAGGAGAGGGGGGAGTACCAGTATACTCCTTATCTCACAGTCTGGCGGCCTAAACAGAGCAATCAATACTGGGGAGTATGGGGAGGAGAGGGGGGAGTACCAGTATACTCCTTATCTCACAGTCTGGCGGCCTAAACAGAGCAATCAATACTGGGGAGTATGGGGAGGAGAGGGGGGAGTACCAGTATACTCCTTATCTCACAGTCTGGCAGCCTAAACAGAGCAATCAATACTGGGGAGTATGGGGAGGAGAGGGGGGAGTACCAGTTGCAGTATACTCCTTATCTCACAGTCTGGCGGCCTAAACAGAGCAATCAATACTGGGGAGTATGGGGAGGAGAGGGGGGAGTACCAGTATACTCCTTATCTCACAGTCTGGCGGCCTAAACAGAGCAATCAATACTGGGGAGTATGGGGAGGAGAGGGGGGAGTACCAGTATACTCCTTATCTCACAGTCTGGCGGCCTAAACAGAGCGATCAATACTGGGGAGTATGGGGAGGAGAGGGGGGAGTACCAGTATACTCCTTATCTCACAGTCTGGCGGCCTAAACAGAGCGATCAATACTGGGGAGTATGGGGAGGAGAGGGGGGAGTACCAGTATACTCCTTATCTCACAGTCTGGCGGCCTAAACAGAGCAATCAATACTGGGGAGTATGGGGAGGAGAGGGGGGAGTACCAGTATACTCCTTATCTCACAGTCTGGCGGCCTAAACAGAGCAATCAATACTGGGGAGTATGGGGAGGAGAGGGGGGAGTACCAGTATACTCCTTATCTCACAGTCTGGCGGCCTAAACAGAGCAATCAATACTGGGGAGTATGGGGAGGAGAGGGGGGAGTACCAGTATACTCCTTATCTCACAGTCTGGCGGCCTAAACAGAGCAATCAATACTGGGGAGTATGGGGAGGAGAGGGGGGAGTACCAGTATACTCCTTATCTCACAGTCTGGCGGCCTAAACAGAGCAATCAATACTGGGGAGTATGGGGAGGAGAGGGGGGAGTACCAGTATACTCCTTATCTCACAGTCTGGCGGCCTAAACAGAGCAATCAATACTGGGGAGTATGGGGAGGAGAGGGGGGAGTACCAGTATACTCCTTATCTCACAGTCTGGCGGCCTAAACAGAGCAATCAATACTGGGGAGTATGGGGAGGAGAGGGGGGAGTACCAGTATACTCCTTATCTCACAGTCTGGCGGCCTAAACAGAGCAATCAATACTGGGGAGTATGGGGAGGAGAAGGGGGAGTACCAGTATACTCCTTATCTCACAGTCTGGCGGCCTAAACAGAGCGATCAATACTGGGGAGTATGGGGAGGAGAGGGGGGAGTACCAGTATACTCCTTATCTCACAGTCTGGCGGCCTAAACAGAGCGATCAATACTGGGGAGTATGGGGAGGAGAAGGGGGGAGTACCAGTATACTCCTTATCTCACAGTCTGGCGGCCTAAACAGAGCAATCAATACTGGGGAGTATGGGGAGGAAAGGGGGGAGTACCAGTATACTCCTTATCTCACAGTCTGGCGGCCTAAACAGAGCAATCAATACTGGGGAGTATGGGGAGGAGAAGGGGGGAGTACCAGTATACTCCTTATCTCACAGTCTGGCGGCCTAAACAGAGCAATCAATACTGGGGAGTATGGGGAGGAAAGGGGGGAGTACCAGTATACTCCTTATCTCACAGTCTGGCGGCCTAAACAGAGCAATCAATACTGGGGAGTATGGGGAGGAGAAGGGGGAGTACCAGTATACTCCTTATCTCACAGTCTGGCGGCCTAAACAGAGCGATCAATACTGGGGAGTATGGGGAGGAGAGGGGGGAGTACCAGTATACTCCTTATCTCACAGTCTGGCGGCCTAAACAGAGCGATCAATACTGGGGAGTATGGGGAGGAGAAGGGGGAGTACCAGTATACTCCTTATCTCACAGTCTGGCGGCCTAAACAGAGCAATCAATACTGGGGAGTATGGGGAGGAAAGGGGGGAGTACCAGTATACTCCTTATCTCACAGTCTGGCGGCCTAAACAGAGCAATCAATACTGGGGAGTATGGGGAGGAGAGGGGGGAGTACCAGTATACTCCTTATCTCACAGTCTGGCGGCCTAAACAGAGCAATCAATACTGGGGAGTATGGGGAGGAAAGGGGGGAGTACCAGTATACTCCTTATCTCACAGTCTGGCGGCCTAAACAGAGCAATCAATACTGGGGAGTATGGGGAGGAGAGGGGGGAGTACCAGTATACTCCTTATCTCACAGTCTGGCGGCCTAAACAGAGCAATCAATACTGGGGAGTATGGGGAGGAGAGGGGGGAGTACCAGTATACTCCTTATCTCACAGTCTGGCGGCCTAAACAGAGCAATCAATACTGGGGAGTATGGGGAGGAGAGGGGGGAGTACCAGTATACTCCTTATCTCACAGTCTGGCGGCCTAAACAGAGCAATCAATACTGGGGAGTATGGGGAGGAGAGGGGGGAGTACCAGTATACTCCTTATCTCACAGTCTGGCAGCCTAAACAGAGCAATCAATACTGGGGAGTATGGGGAGGAGAGGGAGGAGTACCAGTATACTCCTTATCTCACAGTCTGGCGGCCTAAACAGAGCAATCAATACTGGGGAGTATGGGGAGGAGAGGGGGGAGTACCAGTATACTCCTTATCTCACAGTCTGGCAGCCTAAACAGAGCAATCAATACTGGGGAGTATGGGGAGGAGAGGGGGGAGTACCAGTATACTCCTTATCTCACAGTCTGGCAGCCTAAACAGAGCAATCAATACTGGGGAGTATGGGGAGGAGAGGGGGGAGTACCAGTATACTCCTTATCTCACAGTCTGGCGGCCTAAACAGAGCAATCAATACTGGGGAGTATGGGGAGGAGAGGGGGGAGTACCAGTATACTCCTTATCTCACAGTCTGGCGGCCTAAACAGAGCAATCAATACTGGGGAGTATGGGGAGGAAAGGGGGGAGTACCAGTATACTCCTTATCTCACAGTCTGGCGGCCTAAACAGAGCAATCAATACTGGGGAGTATATATATATGGGAAGGGGCGTTGGGGTAGGGAGGGGGAGGGGGAGTGGGAGGGAGGGGGAGGGGCCAGGGGGAGTGGGAGGGAGGGGGAAGGGAAGTAGGGGGGAGGGGAGGGGGAGGGGGATTAGGGGGGAGGGGGAGTAGGGGGAGGGGTAGTAGGGGGAGGGGGAGTAAGGGAGGATGGGGGAGGGGGAGTGGGAGGGGGAAGGGAAAGTAGGGGGGAGGGGAGGAGGGGGAGGGGGATAAGGGGGGAGGGGGATTAGGGGGGAGGGGGAGTAGGGGGAGGGGGAGTGTGAGGGGGAGGGGGAAGGGAAGTAGGGGGGAGGGGAGGGGGGAGGGGGATAAGGGGGAGGGGGATTAGGGGGGAGGGGGATTAGGGGGGAGGGGAGAGTAGGGGAGGGGGAGTGTGAGGGGGAGGGGGAAGGGAAGTAGGGGGAGGGGAGGGGGATAAGGGGGGAGGGGGATAAGGGGGGGAGGGGGATTAGGGGGAGGGGGATAAGGGGGAGGGGGAGTAGGGGGAGGGGGAGTGTGAGTGGGGAGGGAGGGAGGAAGGAAGTAGGGGGGACGGGGCAGGGGGGAGGGGGATAAGGGGGAGGGGGATTAGGGGGGAGGGGATTAGGGGGGAGGGGGGAGTGTGAGGGGGAGGGGGGAAGGGAAGTAGGGGGGAGGGGGAGGGTGGAGGGGGATAAGGGGGGAGGGGGATTAGGGGGGAGGGGGAGTAGGGGGGATGGGAGAGGAGTGAGGGGAGGGGAAGGGAAGTAGGGGGGAGGGTGAGGGGGAGGGGGATAAGGGGGCGAGGGGGATTAGGGGGGAGGGGGATTAGGGGGGAGGGGGAGATTAGGGGGAGGGGGAGTGTGAGGGGAGGGGGGAAAGGGAAGTAGGGGGGAGGGGAGGGGGATAAGGGGGGAGGGGGATTAGGGGGGAGGGGAGAGTAGGGGAGGGGTAAGTAGGGGGAGGGGGAAGTAAGGGAGGATGGGGCGAGGGGAGTGGGAGGGAGGGGAGTGGGAGGAGGGGGAGTGTGAGGGGGGAGGGGGAGTGTGAGGGTGAGGGGGGAGGGGGATTAGGAGGGGAGGGGTATTAGGGGGAGGGGGATGTAGGGGGGGAGAGGGAGAGGGAGGAAGTAGGGGAGGGGAGTAGGAGAGGGGGAATGAGGGGAGGGGAGTAGGGAGGATGGTACCACTGAACCGGATGTGTTTGTAAAATGTAGGAGGGAAAATCAAAAATTCCGCTTTCCAACTGAATACGACTATTACTAGGGAGTAGGGGACAGTGTGACTGAGTTCTTTTGTTTGCAGCTAAGACAGGTTATACTATTACTCTAGTAACTATGCCCTGCTACTAGAGTATACATCTACTTTATCCGATAACCATAATATAACGGATATATCCGATCATTAACCATAGTAATTACACATAACCTCAATTTAATAGGTGAGGGAACCAAATGTGCGACAATTAAACTTTAAAGACGTTGCGACGGTAATTAAAATTAAAATTACAACATCGACAAAAACATTGGACTATTATCTTATTATTACGCCAATTAAACACTCCGCAAAGTTAGAACAGAGACCATGACTATACTGTTATACCTACAATTATTAGCTGTTATTCTTGTTTAGTTAGTACTAAACTACATAATGTATACCCCAGTATGTATACCCCAGGGTATACACAATGTATAGTTTAACCCCAGGGTTTTAGTATTTGTTCTGTTTGTTGTTTATTGTTGTGTTTATTGTGTTGTTATAATGTTAGAATCTCAACAAACCACTACTCCCCAGTTTATCCAGTGAGTATTAATCTTAAGAACAAATTGTATTTAATTATAACTTATTTGCCATAAATGTAGTCAAAATTTAGATTTAAATTGTTGTAAACGAAATAAATAGTGACTTACTTTACTGTTGAGTTAACTTACTCGGAGTGTATAGAAGAGGGCCAGGGTTTGTCACTGAAGCGAACTGGTAGTTTGTCCAGTAGTCTGTAGCTCAGTGAGGAGACAGGCATGGAGAGGGGGAGGGATGCACTGAAAGAGGAGTATTATAGAGAATTGCGATTACTTGGATAATGACAAATTAATAAAATACATGATAGCACTATTTTGAATATAAAGTACCCAGGAGTCATCTCCAACAAAAACTTGTATAAACGCTGCAATGCTGAACCATTGTCAGAAAAAGTGGCCCGTAGTCGGTGGAGAATGTTAGGACATGTTTTGCGGGGTCCTATTGACGGACCAGCGTTTTCTTCCCTCATTTTTGCCATCAATACACTGGACTTACCAGGGAGAAGAGGAAGACCCCAAAGCAATCTATTATCGCTGATTGTGCATGATTTATGTAAAAGAAATCTTTATTTGAATAATATCTTTGACCTGCATTATCTCCGTAATTTGAGTTATGACAAGAGATATTGGCGGAATTTGCAATGAAGTTTTTAATTTTTAGTTTTTGTTTTAGGGAAAGATTAGACTTGGGCGTTGTTTTTTAAACTATCCCTTGTTTAGAACTTTGATTTAATAAATAATAATGATAGTAATGCAAATAAACTTACTCTAGTTTACAGCCGATGTTATGATAAGATGTCTGATTGATGGAGAATATTTGATCATGTTCACCAAATCCTGCCAACTTGACCGTCTGCAAAATATACAATTTAATGGTAGTAATTAGTGAATAGTATATAGTATATAGTAATTAGTGAATCAAAGATGATTTGTTACTGATAAGTTCTTGAAAGAGAAAGAGAAATAGAAAGTGAAAGAGAAAGAGAAAGAGAAAGAGAAAGTGTTTACCTTACTCAATCCTTGTTCAGGAGAGCTGAGGCTAATCAGTAAATCCTCCGCAAAGTTATTCCTCACAATAAAAAGAGGATTGAGGGTTACTGAAATAGTTGGCTGTTAGAAACCTACAAAAACTGACGGTAATATGAATTAATAAATAAAGTATTGAGATATATCTGAATATTGGTGGGGAGGTGAACTGACCGATCAAAACCCAGGACCAAGGTCACGTGTCAAACCAAATATGATTCACAGCCTCGCTATAATTTACTGACAACTACTACATTACTACACTTTACAGTTAATTGGGCAATTAATTATTATTACCCGATTACCTAGTTGATGCATTACCTGTGAAATGACCAGTGTTGTGTAGTATAGACGCTACAATGTAGCACTCAGCAGATAGACTTACTACAAACGACTCTGATAGATCTTTGTGTAATCTGAAGATGGGAGGATCATACTTGTATTGTTCTTAAACTGATGACGTCATCACGTGACGTCATCACAACATCACGTGACGTTATCAAAACATTACGTAATTAGAGTCTAAGAGGTTTCATCATAGATTTAAAAAAATATGACGTCACAAGACGGAGTATATGACGTCACATGAAGGAGTATATGACGTCACAAGACGGAGTATATGACGTCACAAGACGGAGTATATGACGTCACAAGACGGAGTATATATGACGTCACAAGACGGAGTGTATGACGTCACAAGACGGGGTATATGACGTCACAAGACGGAGTATATGACGTCACAAGACGGAGAATATGACGTCACAAGACGGAGTATATGACGTCACAAGACGGAATATATGACGTCACTACCCTCCTACCTGACAGGTTGGGACCACTGAACAGTGTCTGAATTAAGAGAGAAGCTCATAGCGTGTTCTCCTGGTCCTAACACGTAGCTCTTATTCACCTCTCCAGCTCCTATAGACTGAACCTGGGTTAATGGGATCAACACTCAGTCAACACTCAGTCAACATTCAGTTAACTCAGTTTTTGCTGCAAAGTAGTGTATGCAGTCTCCCCCGTGACATCATGTCACGTGGTATGACGTCATGTCACGTGGTATGACGTCATGTCACGTGGTATGACGTCATGTCACGTGGTATGACGTCATGTCACGTGGTATGACGTCATGTCACGTGGTATGACGTTATGTCACGTGGTATGCCGTCATGTCACGTGGTATGACGTCATGTCACGTGGTATGACGTTATGTCACGTGGTATGCCGTCATGTCACGTGGTATGACGTCATGTCACGTGGTATGACGTCATGTCGCGTGGTATGACGGCATGTCACGTGTGTTTGTCTGTTTGTGTGTAAACCTGTAAAGTTGAGTATGTAGTCTCTCCCCGCGACGGGTCCAGAGGTAGGAAACTGCACTGAACATTTAACACTGTCCTGTTGTTAACACACAGGCCACCTGGAATTTAGTGAGATTAAAGTGAGGTTAAATTTAATTTCAATACAGAGTTTAATGGAAATGGCAGGAAGGAATACTGACTAATTATAGAAGAGTGAAGTGTTAACCTGTGATACGGATGTAGTTGCAACCTCCCTTCCTCTCCACTAACCTGTGATACGGATGTAGTTGCAACCTCCCTTCCTCTCCACTAACCTGTGATACGGATGTAGTTGCAACCTCCCTTCCTCTCCACTAACCTGTGATACGGATGTAGTTGCAACCTCCCTTCCTCTCCACTAACCTGTGATACGGATGTAGTTGCAACCTCCCTTCCTCTCCACTAACCTGTGATACGGATGTAGTTGCAACCTCCCTTCCTCTCCACTAACCTGTGATACGGATGTAGTTGCAACCTCCCTTCCTCTCCACTAACCTGTGATACGGATGTAGTTGCAACCTCCCTTCCTCTCCACTAACCTGTGATACGGATGTAGTTGCAACCTCCCTTCCTCTCCACTAACCTGTGATACGGATGTAGTTGCAACCTCCTTCCTCTCCACTAACCTGTGATACGGATGTAGTTGCAACCTCCCTTCCTCTCCACTAACCTGTGATACGGATGTAGTTGCAACCTCCCTTCCTCTCCACTAACCTGTGATACGGATGTAGTTGCAACCTCCCTTCCTCTCCACTAACCTGTGATACGGATGTAGTTGCAACCTCCCTTCCTCTCCACTAACCTGTGATACGGATGTAGTTGCAACCTCCCTTCCTCTCCACTAACCTGTGATACGGATGTAGTTGCAACCTCCCTTCCTCTCCACTAACCTGTGATACGGATGTAGTTGCAACCTCCCTTCCTCTCCACTAACCTGTGATACGGATGTAGTTGCAACCTCCCTTCCTCTCCACTAACCTGTGATACGGATGTAGTTGCAACCTCCCTTCCTCTCCACTAACCTGTGATACGGATGTAGTTGCAACCTCCCTTCCTCTCCACTAACCTGTGATACGGATGTAGTTGCAACCTCCCTTCCTCTCCACTAACCTGTGATACGGATGTAGTTGCAACCTCCCTTCCTCTCCACTAACCTGTGATACGGATGTAGTTGCAACCTCCCTTCCTCTCCACTAACCTGTGATACGGATGTAGTTGCAACCTCCCTTCCTCTCCACTAACCTGTGATACGGATGTAGTTGCAACCTCCCTTCCTCTCCACTAACCTGTGATACGGATGTAGTTGCAACCTCCCTTCCTCTCCACTAACCTGTGATACGGATGTAGTTGCAACCTCCCTTCCTCTCCACTAACCTGTGATACGGATGTAGTTGCAACCTCCCTTCCTCTCCACTAACCTGTGATACGGATGTAGTTGCAACCTCCCTTCCTCTCGACTATAATAAACATACCGTTATCCTCCACCACTGAGCCTGCCGCTAGATCTGACAGTTTAGGGTTTAGTGACTGACAACGTGTTTACTGACAAATTTCAAGGACTCATATACAAAATATATGCGTATTGAGGTAGAAATGAAGATTACCAATAGAGGACTCATATATAAAACATAAAGTATTGAGGTAGAAAGTAAGATTACCAATAGAGGACTCATATACAAAATATGAAGTATTGAGGTAGAAAGTAAGATTACCAATAGAGGACTCATATACAAAATATGAAGTATTGAGGTAGAAAGTAAGATTACCAATAGAGGACTCATATACAAAATATGAAGTATTGAGGTAGAAAGTAAGATTACCAATAGAGGACTCATATACAAAATATGAAGTATTGAGGTAGAAAGTAAGATTACCAATAGAGGACTCATATACAAAATATGAAGTATTGAGGTAGAAATGAAGATTACCAATAGAGGACTCATATACAAAATATGAAGTATTGAGGTAGAAAGTAAGATTACCAATAGAGGACTCATATACAAAATATGAAGTATTGAGGTAGAAAGTAAGATTACCAATAGAGGACTCATATACAAAATATGAAGTATTGAGGTAGAAATGAAGATTACCAATAGAGGACTCATATAAAAAATATGAAGTATTGAGGTAGAAAGTAAGATTACCAATAGAGGACTCATATACAAAATATGAAGTATTGAGGTAGAAAGTAAGATTACCAATAGAGGACTCATATACAAAATATGAAGTATTGAGGTAGAAAGTAAGATTACCAATAGAGGACTCATATATAAAACATAAAGTATTGAGGTAGAAAGTAAGATTACCAATAGAGGACTCATATATAAAACATAAAGTATTGAGGTAGAAAGTAAGATTACCAATAGAGGACTCATATACAAAATATGAAGTATTGAGGTAGAAAGTAAGATTACCAATAGAGGACTCATATACAAAATATGAAGTATTGAGGTAGAAAGTAAGATTACCAATAGAGGACTCATATACAAAATATGAAGTATTGAGGTAGAAATGAAGATTACCAATAGAGGACTCATATACAAAATATGAAGTATTGAGGTAGAAAGTAAGATTACCAATAGAGGACTCATATATAAAATATGAAGTATTGAGGTAGAAAGTAAGATTACCAATAGAGGACTCATATACAAAATATGAAGTATTGAGGTAGAAAGTAAGATTACCAATAGAGGACTCATATAAAAAATATGAAGTATTGAGGTAGAAAGTAAGATTACCAATAGAGGACTCATATACAAAATATGAAGTATTGAGGTAGAAATGAAGATTACCAATAGAGGACTCATATACAAAATATGAAGTATTGAGGTAGAAATGAAGATTACCAATAGAGGACTCATATACAAAATATGAAGTATTGAGGTAGAAATGAAGATTACCAATAGAGGACTCATATACAAAATATGAAGTATTGAGGTAGAAAGTAAGATTACCAATAGAGGACTCATATACAAAATATGAAGTATTGAGGTAGAAAGTAAGATTACCAATAGAGGACTCATATACAAAATATGAAGTATTGAGGTAGAAAGTAAGATTACCAATAGAGGACTCATATACAAAATATGAAGTATTGAGGTAGAAAGTAAGATTACCAATAGAGGACTCATATATAAAATATGAAGTATTGAGGTAGAAAGTAAGATTACCAATAGAGGACTCATATACAAAATATGAAGTATTGAGGTAGAAATGAAGATTACCAATAGAGGACTCATATACAAAATATGAAGTATTGAGGTAGAAATGAAGATTACCAATAGAGGACTCATATATAAAACATAAAGTATTGAGGTAGAAAGTAAGATTACCAATAGAGGACTCATATACAAAATATGAAGTATTGAGGTAGAAAGTAAGATTACCAATAGAGGACTCATATACAAAATATGAAGTATTGAGGTAGAAAGTAAGATTACCAATAGAGGACTCATATACAAAATATGAAGTATTGAGGTAGAAAGTAAGATTACCAATAGAGGACTCATATACAAAATATGAAGTATTGAGGTAGAAAGTAAGATTACCAATAGAGGACTCATATATAAAATATGAAGTATTGAGGTAGAAAGTAAGATTACCAATAGAGGACTCATATACAAAATATGAAGTATTGAGGTAGAAAGTAAGATTACCAATAGAGGACTCATATACAAAATATGAAGTATTGAGGTAGAAAGTAAGATTACCAATAGAGGACTCATATAAAAAATATGAAGTATTGAGGTAGAAAGTAAGATTACCAATAGAGGACTCATATACAAAATATGAAGTATTGAGGTAGAAAGTAAGATTACCAATAGAGGACTCATATATAAAACATAAAGTATTGAGGTAGAAAGTAAGATTACCAATAGAGGACTCATATACAAAATATATGCGTATTGAGGTAGAAATGAAGATTACCAATAGAGGACTCATATATAAAACATAAGTATTGAGGTAGAAAGTAAGATTACCAATAGAGGACTCATATACAAAATATGAAGTATTGAGGTAGAAAGTAAGATTACCAATAGAGGACTCATATATAAAATATGAAGTATTGAGGTAGAAAGTAAGATTACCAATAGAGGACTCATATACAAAATATGAAGTATTGAGGTAGAAAGTAAGATTACCAATAGAGGACTCATATACAAAATATGAAGTATTGAGGTAGAAAGTAAGATTACCAATAGAGGACTCATATACTAAAATATGAAGTATTGAGGTAGAAATGAAGATTACCAATAGAGGACTCATATACAAATATGAAGTATTGAGGTAGAAAGTAAGATTACCAATAGAGGACTCATATACAAAATATGAAGTATTGAGGTAGAAAGTAAGATTACCAATAGAGGACTCATATATAAAACATAAAGTATTGAGGTAGAAAGTAAGATTACCAATAGAGGACTCATATACAAAATATGAAGTATTGAGGTAGAAATGAAGATTACCAATAGAGGACTCATATACAAAATATGAAGTATTGAGGTAGAAAGTAAGATTACCAATAGAGGACTCATATACAAAATATGAAGTATTGAGGTAGAAATGAAGATTACCAATAGAGGACTCATATACAAAATATGAAGTATTGAGGTAGAAAGTAAGATTACCAATAGAGGACTCATATATAAAATATGAAGTATTGAGGTAGAAAGTAAGATTACCAATAGAGGACTCATATACAAAATATGAAGTATTGAGGTAGAAAGTAAGATTACCAATAGAGGACTCATATACAAAATATGAAGTATTGAGGTAGAAATGAAGATTACCAATAGAGGACTCATATATAAAACATAAAGTATTGAGGTAGAAAGTAAGATTACCAATAGAGGACTCATATATAAAACATAAAGTATTGAGGTAGAAAGTAAGATTACCAATAGAGGACTCATATACAAAATATGAAGTATTGAGGTAGAAAGTAAGATTACCAATAGAGGACTCATATATAAACATAAAGTATTGAGGTAGAAAGTAAGATTACCAATAGAGGACTCATATACAAAATATGAAGTATTGAGGTAGAAAGTAAGATTACCAATAGAGGACTCATATACAAAATATGAAGTATTGAAGTAGAAATGAAGATTACCAATAGAGGACTCATATACAAAATATGAAGTATTGAGGTAGAAAGTAAGATTACCAATAGAGGACTCATATACAAAATATGAAGTATTGAGGTAGAAAGTAAGATTACCAATAGAGGACTCATATACAAAATATGAAGTATTGAGGTAGAAATGAAGATTACCAATAGAGGACTCATATACAAAATATGAAGTATTGAGGTAGAAAGTAAGATTACCAATAGAGGACTCATATACAAAATATGAAGTATTGAGGTAGAAAGTAAGATTACCAATAGAGGACTCATATACAAAATATGAAGTATTGAGGTAGAAAGTAAGATTACCAATAGAGGACTCATATATAAAATATGAAGTATTGAGGTAGAAAGTAAGATTACCAATAGAGGACTCATATACAAAATATGAAGTATTGAGGTAGAAATGAAGATTACCAATAGAGGACTCATATATAAAATATGAAGTATTGAGGTAGAAAGTAAGATTACCAATAGAGGACTCATATACAAAATATGAAGTATTGAGGTAGAAAGTAAGATTACCAATAGAGGACTCATATACAAAATATGAAGTATTGAGGTAGAAATGAAGATTACCAATAGAGGACTCATATATAAAACATAAAGTATTGAGGTAGAAAGTAAGATTACCAATAGAGGACTCATATATAAAATATGAAGTATTGAGGTAGAAAGTAAGATTACCAATAGAGGACTCATATACAAAATATGAAGTATTGAGGTAGAAAGTAAGATTACCAATAGAGGACTCATATACAAAATATGAAGTATTGAGGTAGAAAGTAAGATTACCAATAGAGGACTCATATACAAAATATGAAGTATTGAAGTAGAAATGAAGATTACCAATAGAGGACTCATATACAAAATATGAAGTATTGAGGTAGAAAGTAAGATTACCAATAGAGGACTCATATACAAAATATGAAGTATTGAGGTAGAAAGTAAGATTACCAATAGAGGACTCATATACAAAATATGAAGTATTGAGGTAGAAAGTAAGATTACCAATAGAGGACTCATATACAAAATATGAAGTATTGAGGTAGAAAGTAAGATTACCAATAGAGGACTCATATACAAAATATGAAGTATTGAGGTAGAAAGTAAGATTACCAATAGAGGACTCATATACAAAATATGAAGTATTGAGGTAGAAAGTAAGATTACCAATAGAGGACTCATATACAAAATATGAAGTATTGAGGTAGAAAGTAAGATTACCAATAGAGGACTCATATACAAAATATGAAGTATTGAGGTAGAAAGTAAGATTACCAATAGAGGACTCATATATAAAATATGAAGTATTGAGGTAGAAAGTAAGATTACCAATAGAGGACTCATATACAAAATATGAAGTATTGAGGTAGAAATGAAGATTACCAATAGAGGACTCATATATAAAATATGAAGTATTGAGGTAGAAAGTAAGATTACCAATAGAGGACTCATATACAAAATATGAAGTATTGAGGTAGAAAGTAAGATTACCAATAGAGGACTCATATAAAAAATATGAAGTATTGAGGTAGAAAGTAAGATTACCAATAGAGGACTCATATATAAAACATAAAGTATTGAGGTAGAAAGTAAGATTACCAATAGAGGACTCATATATAAAATATGAAGTATTGAGGTAGAAAGTAAGATTACCAATAGAGGACTCATATATAAAATATAAAGTATTGAGGTAGAAATGAAGATTACCAATAGAGGACTCATATACAAAATATGAAGTATTGAGGTAGAAAGTAAGATTACCAATAGAGGACTCATATATAAAACATAAAGTATTGAGGTAGAAAGTAAGATTACCAATAGAGGACTCATATATAAAATATGAAGTATTGAGGTAGAAATGAAGATTACCAATAGAGGACTCATATATAAAATATGAAGTATTGAGGTAGAAAGTAAGATTACCAATAGAGGACTCATATATAAAACATAAAGTATTGAGGTAGAAAGTAAGATTACCAATAGAGGACTCATATACAAAATATGAAGTATTGAGGTAGAAAGTAAGATTACCAATAAAGGACTCATATACAAAATATGAAGTATTGAGGTAGAAATGAAGATTACCAATAGAGGACTCATATATAAAACATAAAGTATTGAGGTAGAAAGTAAGATTACCAATAGAGGACTCATATATAAAACATAAAGTATTGAGGTAGAAAGTAAGATTACCAATAGAGGACTCATATACAAAATATGAAGTATTGAGGTAGAAAGTAAGATTACCAATAGAGGACTCATATACAAAATATGAAGTATTGAGGTAGAAAGTAAGATTACCAATAGAGGACTCATATACAAAATATGAAGTATTGAGGTAGAAAGTAAGATTACCAATAGAGGACTCATATACAAAATATGAAGTATTGAGGTAGAAAGTAAGATTACCAATAGAGGACTCATATACAAAATATGAAGTATTGAGGTAGAAAGTAAGATTACCAATAGAGGACTCATATACAAAATATGAAGTATTGAGGTAGAAAGTAAGATTACCAATAGAGGACTCATATACAAAATATGAAGTATTGAGGTAGAAAGTAAGATTACCAATAGAGGACTCATATACAAAATATGAAGTATTGAGGTAGAAAGTAAGATTACCAATAGAGGACTCATATACAAAATATGAAGTATTGAGGTAGAAAGTAAGATTACCAATAGAGGACTCATATACAAAATATGAAGTATTGAGGTAGAAAGTAAGATTACCAATAGAGGACTCATATACAAAATATGAAGTATTGAGGTAGAAAGTAAGATTACCAATAGAGGACTCATATAATATAAAATATAAAGTATTGAGGTAGAAAGTAAGATTACCAATAGAGCGAGACCAGGAAGGGTGTATGTTCTCCAAAGCCACATAGACGGGTTTAGTCAGGTCCCAGTAGCAAGCAACAGTGCTCTTACCTTCACAACTCACATATCTGCTACCATTCTGAGGAGGGGGGGGGGGGGGGGGGGGGCTTTACTTTACTTTACTTTACTTTACTTTACTTTACTTTACTTTACTTTACTTTACTTTACTTTACTTTACTTTACTTTACTTTACTTTACTTTACTTTACTTTACTTTACTTTACTTTACTTTACTTTACTTTACTTTACTTTACTTTACTTTACTTTACTTTACTTTACTTTACTTTACTTTACTTTACTTTACTAACCAGCATTAGTTGAGCGGAGTAGGATGTCTCGTTAACTACAAACGTCTCAAAGAGGGACACACTGAGATGGTCCCCCCAGCTCCTCTTCACAGAGTTCAGACAAGGGAGGAGAGAGGGGGACATGGCCAGGCTGGTTGAGTCCAAACATAGCGAGACGGTGGTTTTAGTGGGGCGCGCTGAGGAGGGGTCAATTATATGTAATCTAGTGGGGGGGGGAATGTACTGTAGTGGGGCGCGCTGAGGAGGGGTCAATTATATGTAATGTAGTGGGGGGGGGGGGGGGGCAATGTACTGTAGTGGGGCGCGCTGAGGAGGGGTCAATTATATGTAATGTAGTGGGGGGGGGCAATGTAATGTAGTGCGGGGGGGGGGGGGGGGGGGGGTCAATTATAAGTAATGTAGTGGGGGGTCAAAGTGGGGGGGGGGGGGAAGAAAGTGAAAATGTTGCCGCTCAGATATTGATATTGTATCAGCTAAACAAATGTAACCCAGGTAACCAAGGCAACCAAGGGAATCAGGGTAATCAAGGTAACTGAGGTAACCAAGATAACAAGGTAACCAAGGTATTACCTTGAAGGTAACCCTCAACTTACAAGTAACCACGGTAACGTTGGACGTGACGTCATAACCCTGACTCCTGTCACGTGACAGGAATGAAGCTTGTAGTTGAGATCTAGCTACCAGAGTATAGAGTAGGGTGGAGTAGTCCAGGTAGTGCACGTCACTGCTACACCTCACCTGAAATTAGTGGTATAATTAATTAATATCGTAATTATTATAATTTTAATAACAATATCAGGAACTATCGGTGTTAATGGTTAACACATTTGGTATGATAATTGAAGTGCTTTCCCAAAATGTCAAGTTGGTTGTTCACAATTTAACCGAGTTATGACCCTTTTAAGGCATGCAGATACGTGATCCAGCGCTTAATCAGTGATATCTTCACTCAATCAATGCTCTGATTGGTTGGAGACTGCTTATAGGACATCAACCGAAGCGCTATAAGGCGAATTTCTTCTATATACACTAGTAGTGTAGTTTAAAGTAGTACTATAATATATAGACATGGTATCAGATTATTGCTCAGCGGAAATCTCAATTTAAACCTACACACCGGGCGACACAGTGATGCAGTGGGTGGGTAGTAGTAGTAACTACACAGTGTGTAGTGCTTTACTTCTGCTGTGCTTCTTTTCTGCGTTAACATTGCACGTGCTTTTTCCAATCATTACACGTGCTTTTTCCTATCATTGCACGTGCTGTTTCTTATCAGTGCAGGTGTTTTTTTCCAGTAATCACTAGCCATGGAGATTGACTATACACTGTAAGGATACTTCTTACACTACATGTCCTTAAACCCTCATCCCAATTCACCCCAGACACACCACCCCTCCCCCTTTTTAAAAACATAACTCATCAGATTTTACCCCCCCCCCTTTCAGAAACATAATTCCTTACTCCTTAGATTGTACCCCCTCCCAATACCCCTCTTAATAAACGCAACCCCTCAAATTGTACCCCATATAGAAACTCAACCCCTCAGATTGTACCACTCTAGAAACTCAACCCTCAGATTGTACCCCTCTAGAAAATCAACCCCTCAGATTGTACCACTCTAGAAACTCAACCCTCAGATTGTACCCCTCTAGAAAATCAACCCCTCAGATTGTACCGCCTCTAGAAACTCATCCCCTCAGATTGTACCCCCTCTAGAAACTCATCCCCTCAGATTGTACCCCCTCTAGAAACTCAACCCCTCAGATTGTACCCCCTCTAGAAACTCAACCCCTCAGATTGTACCCCCTCTAGAAACTCAACCCCTCAGATTGTACCCCTCTAGAAAATCAACCCCTCAGATTGTACCGCCTCTAGAAACTCATCCCCTCAGATTGTACCCCCTCTAGAAACTCATCCCCTCAGATTGTACCCCCATCTAGAAACTCAACCCCTCAGATTGTACCCCCTCTAGAAACTCAACCCCTCAGATTGTACCCCCTCTAGAAACTCAACCCCTCAGATTGTACCCCCTCTAGAAACTCAACCCCTCAGACTGTACCCCCTCTAGAAACTCAACCCCTCAGACTGTACCCCCTTTAGAAACTCAACCCCTCAGATTGTACCCCCTCTAGAAACTCAACCCCTCAGACTGTATTCCCTCTAGAAACTCAACCCCTCAGATTGTACCCCTCTTATTAACTCAACCCCTCAGACTGTACCCCATCTAGAAACTCAACCCCTCAGACTGTATCCCCTCTAGAAACTCAACCCCTCAGATTGTACCCCCTCTTATTAACTCAACCCCTCAGATTGTACCCCACTGACTACACGCGACGTGTATCCGAGCAGACAAAAAGTGAACCAGAGATGAACTTCACAGCAGCCCCTAAATACACACCTCATAACACGTGAGCATATTTAGCATATTTAACATATTTAGCATATTTAGCATATTTAGCATATTTAGTAAGGTAATCTTATTATATAATATAGGATTTCAATCATTTATTTTTCCGCGATTCTTGTGTTAACCTTTCTTGTACAATATTACTAAATCAAGAGAACACATTCTTCTCATTACAACGTCATTAAATCTCCACAAGACACATAAACCAGACTAAATATTGTAGGCTAATCTTTGTTTGGTCAGTTTATACAAATATGTAGTAAAACTTATCCAAGCCATAGTATCCATGGTAACGCATACCAGACCCAATAGTCTGCAAAACATGCAGACACAAGCTAATCTGTTGTATAATTGGGACGTTCTGTAACCATCACAACATTGTTAAAAGTGTTAATTCAGGCACACGAATAATATTGTTACTTTTACAAGCTCAAACTCTGTGCGCGACAAATCTATTTGCACAAAAAGTGAACATAATACTCCTATTATATCTCATATTCAGCGTCATTAACAGGCTAATATCTGTCACGTGGTTTGTCACGCGGTCTGTATACTGGACCCTGATTGGTTTAACCACACCTGGACGAGTCTAACAATAATTCCCACTGTAACAGTATAGCTGGAAATTTAATAATTTTCCAAATTCAGTCTGTTCACGTGACCATCAAGACACCCCAGGACTGGTAACCATGGCAACTACAGAGGAGCACGTGACGGGTCACGTGCTAAGTTCCGCAGCACATAGTCACGTGATAATTAGTGAGAAGTTGGAGGTTTTAATTAAGAGAATAGCACGGTGGTGCGTGGGGCGGCTGATTATATACTGTATAATTATTATAATTATACGGGTTTTCTCTCCTTATTTCTGGCTTAGTTCCGAGTTTAACAGGTCCTCGTTATATAGATATCACTATAGTTACTATAGTTACTATCATTATAGTTACTATAGTCACTATACTTACTATAGTGACACTACTAGTACAGTTTCTTTATTTTAGTTACTTTAGGGTCGGCTTTGCCATTTAATTTCGATAATTAGGCTGGATTAGCTTTGAGCCCAACAGAAGCCTATTTTAAAATTAAACGTATTCTTTAAAACAGTGTTTTGTAAAGAAGTGAGAATAGGAGATACTAGCAGGGTACACACAGAGATACCATTGTGAAGTAGAGCAGTTAGAATATAAGCAGACAAGATCAGTTAGCAGGAGATATACCAGATCAGTAAGCAGTATTTGGCAGGTAGCCAGGTAACCGGGCAGGTTGCCAGGTAACCGGGCAGGTTTATCAGCGTATTTAACTGGAACCAGTTCAGATAATGAGATCTGTAGTAGACACTGCGAGGTAGAGCCTAGATAGAGGCACTACCTCACTACTACTACTAGTATACAGAGGCACTAAGGTAGTGCTAGCTGTAGTAGAGGCAATGTTAACTTTATCTAGGTCGCCGTTTGGTTCCGTCTTATGTGAATAGTTCGTTTGTGTCACGTGGTGTGAATACAGTGCTCTGATTGGTTCGTTTGTGTTACGTGGTGTGAATACAGTGCTCTGATTGGTTAGTTTGTGTCACGTGGTGTGAATACAGTGCTCTGATTGGTTATATTACCTGCACTGAGAGGGCTGTGTCGATGTCAGTTTTAGCGGAGAGGTTTCTTGCAGTTACTTTTAGCAGTTCTAGTTCACGATCAGGAAGCACCAGCGGTAAATCGTACACCCACAGCTCTGAAGAGTAATATCATTATCACCCAATCATAAAGCAACATTTGCTTTTCCTTGTTTTGCTTGTTGGCAACACGAAGAGAATTTGGTTTATTAGGACAATTTTCTAAGACCCCAATATAAACATAAAATAAACTAACACAATATTCAGAAAATTTTAAAATCAATCAACCAGTCATCAAAATCAGAATATAATTTTATTTGCGATTTTCCCCACACCCGAACCAGAATTTCCCGTTCTTATTAAAAAAAGCAGAATCCAATTCATTTAATATCATCACTTTGTTAGGTATTAGTGGGGTTGTGCCCCCCCCCTTTAGGTATTAGCGGGGTTGTGCCCCCCCTTTAGGTATTAGCGGGGTTGTGCCCCCTTTAGGTATTAGTGGGGTTGCCCCCCCCCTTAGGTATTAATGGGGTTGCCCCCCCCCTTAGGTATTAGTGGGGTTGTACCCCCCTTTGGGTATTAGTGGGGTTGTGCCCCCCCCTTTAGGTATAAGTGGGGTTGTGCCCCCTTTAGGTATTAGTGGGGTTGTACCCCCCTTTGGGTATTAGTGGGGTTGTGCCCCCCCCCTTTAGGTATTAGTGGGGTTGTACCCCCCTTTGGGTATTAGTGGGGTTGTGCCCCCCCCTTTAGGTATAAGTGGGGTTGTGCCCCCTTTAGGTATTAGTGGGGTTGTACCCCCCTTTGGGTATTAGTGGGGTTGTGCCCCCCCCCTTTAGGTATTAGTGGGGTTGTGCCCCCCTTTGGGTATTAGTGGGGTTGTGCCCCCCCTTTAGGTATAAGTGGGGTTGTGCCCCCTTTAGGTATTAGTGGGGTTGTACCCCCCTTTGGGTATTAGTGGGGTTGTGCCCCCCCCCTTTAGGTTTAAGTGGGGTTGTGCCCCCTTTAGGTATTAGTGGGGTTGTACCCCCCTTTGGGTATTAGTGGGGTTGTGCCCCCCCCTTTAGGTATTAGTGGGGTTGTGCCCCCCCCCCTTTAGGTATAAGTGGGGTTGTGCCCCCTTTAGGTATTAGTGGGGTTGTGCCCCCCCCCTTTAGGTATTAGTGGGGTTGTGCCCCCTTTAGGAGTTAGGGTTGATAGCACTATGGATGAGCTATGTATGTGCGAAAGTATCAGATTGTCATTCCTTACAAAAAACAGGTATAATATATCATATAAGCTACCGTAGAGCGTAATGCTTCGTGGGAGCATACTGTGAAATTGTTCATCAGACTGCATACTGATAGGTAGACTTGTGTTACGCGGCGCGAATACTGTGCTCTGATTGGTTGGTTTGTGTCACGTGATGTAAATACTGTGCTCTGATTGGTTATTATTCGCAGACTCTTGACAACAGTAGTTTGAAATTGTTTCTTAGGTGTTTATAGCTTTATAGGCATTTAATGATCAAAGTGCGCATAACAACTCTGCTACTCTGGTGTATAACAAGTGTTTAGGGATATTAATGTAGCATTGCACTGGATACTGTGCTCTGATTGGTTTGTTTGTGTCACGTGGTGTGGATACTGTGCTCTGATTGGTTAGTTTGTGTCACGTGGTGTGAATACTGTGTTCTGATTGGTTAGTTTGTGTCACGTGGTGTGAATACAGTGCTCTGATTGGTTAGTTTATGTCACGTGGTGTGAATGCTGTGCTCTGATTGGTTAGTTGGCACTGCATATTTCTGTCATCAGTTTAGGAGGTTTCAGTTTCGAGCTTGTAGCTACATGAATAGTAAGATTGTACGATTGTGTCGTCTAGTAAGAAGTTATCAAATACTTTCCGTACTTCTGAGTAGATTAATTCTACAGACTAAACTTGGTAACTGTGGGCACAGGAACGGTTACATCTTTATATATACCAGACTGTGTAGTTTGTGTCACGTGGTGTGAATACTGGGCTCTGATTGGTTAGTTTGTGTCACGTGGTGTGAATACTGGGCTCTGATTGGTTAGTTTGTGTCACGTGGCGCTCAACCTGTTGTGTGATTGGTTGATGATGAGCAGATATTATATCAAATGTTTTTCACCTCGCAGACGTATTTAATATCATGATTGAACTGACACAATCATCAACGGACACATTTAACTCATCCAGTCACATCATTCCATATAAGGTAGTGTTGCTATGGTCATGTTACCATATAAGGTATTTTGATACCATCAACACTACTATATACAAAATAATTTGAGGCTCTAAAGATGTAGTTTTACGCAGAATGCAAGCCTCACATTGTGTGTTTCCCCTCGTGTCCAAACGCAACATAATAGTGTTGCTATAATGGCCATGTTATCATATATGGTAGTGTTGCTATGGCCATGTTACCATATATGGTAGTGTTGCTATGGCCATGTTACCAAATATGGTAGTTTTGCCGTGGTCATGTTACCATATATGGTAGTGTTGCTGTGGTTACACTACCTAATATGGTAGTGCTGCTATGGTCATGTTACCATATATGGTAGTTTTGCTGTGGTCATGTTACCATATATGGTAGTGTTGCTATGGTCATGTTACCATATATGGTAGTGTTGCTATGGTAATGTTACCATATATGGTAGTGTTGCTGTGGTTACACTACCTAATATGGTCATTATAAATCTCACGCACAACTAACTCACTAGATTCCTGTCGCTAAACATTTCTCTAAATTTTCTCACCAGACGTCAGTACATATTAGCTAACAGGACTCTAGTAGTAGGGAGTAGAACTTCTGTACCTGTTAGCTAGCTCATACTAATTTGTATTTTAGATCACTAATCTGAGGCGACAAATTGCATCGCATTTAGTAATACATTGTTTAGTTGTTTTCTCCTTGTTCGTTCGTCTTGTTTCTTGGGTCGGATTGAAAAAAAAAAAAATTTTTAAAAAAAAAGGGGAAAAAAAAAAATTTTTTTAAAAAGGGGGGGTTTTTTTTTTTAAACCCTTTTTTTTTAATTTTTTTAAAACCCGTTTTGTTTTTTTTCCCAAAAAAAAAAAAATTTTTTTCCCCCAAAAAAAAATACCCCCAAAAATTTAAAAAAAAGGGGAAAAACCTTTTTTAAAAAAAAAAAGGGGTTTGGGGGGGGGTTTTTTTTTGGTTTTAAAAACCCCCCAAAAAAAATTTTTTTTAAAAAAAAATTTTTAAAAAGGGGTTTTTTTTCCCCCCCCCCCAAAAAAACCAAAAAAAAGGGGGAAGGCCTTTTCCCCCCAAAAAACCCGGCCTTTTCCTTTTAATTTTTTTTTCCCTTTTTTAAAAAAAAATTTTTTTTTGGGGAAAAAAAATTTTTTGGGGGTTTTTGGGGCCCCCCAAAAAAGGGGGAAAAATTTTTTTAAAATTTTGGTTTTTTTTAAAAAAAATTTTTTGTTTTTTTTTTAGGGTTGGGGAAAAATTTTTCCAAAAATTTTTGTTTTTCCATTCCGGTTTTTTTCCCAAAAATTTTTTCCCCCCCAAAAAAATTTCCTTTTTAAAAAATTAAAAAAAAAACCCCCTTTTTGGGGGGGTTTTTTTCCCCAAAGTTTTTTTTTAAATTTTTAAAAAATTTAGGGAAAAAACTTTAAAATTTTTAAAAATTTTTTTTTCCCCTTTGTTTTTTTTTTTTTTTTAAAACCCTTTTTTTTTTTTTTTAAAAAAGTTTTTAAAAAAAAAAATTTTTTTTTTTTAAAAGGGGAAAATTTTTTTAAAAAAAATTTTTAACCTTCCAAGGGGAAAAAAAAAAAAATTTTTTCCTTTTAAAAAAACCCCCCGGGGGTTTTTTAAAAAAATTTTTTGGTTTAAGTTTTTTTAAAAAGGTTTTTGGTTTTTTTTGGTTTTAAAAAATTTTTTTTTTTTGGGGTTTTTTTAAAAAAAAAAAGGAATTTTAAAATTTTGGGGGGAAAAAAAAACCCTTTTTTTTAAAATTTTTTTTAAAAAAAAAAAATTTTAAAAGGGGGGAAAGAAACCCTTTTCCCAAAAAAAAAAAATTTTTTTTTTAAAAAAAACCCCAAAAAAAGGGTTTTTTTTAAAAAAAAAATTTTCCTTTTTTTTTTTCCCCCTTTTAAATTTTAAAAAAAAAACCCCCCTTTTTAAAAAAATTTTTTTTGGGGGGTTTTTAAAAAAAGGGGGTTGGGGGGGGGGGTTTTCCGAATTTAACGTTGATTTCGTTGAATTCAGGATCTGTCTTTAGCAATAGCCAGCAAGAGTTGCCCTGGGATTACTTTAGTTAGCACGCAACTATCTAACTATCTAAAACACAGAGGACTATAATTTATATATCCTCATATTGTGCACCCTTTCTGTTTCGGAGATAATACCTTGGTTACTATGGTTACTATGGTTACTATGGTTACTATGGTTATTATGGTTACTATGGTTGCTATCGTTACAACGGTTATTATGTATATGGTTGCTATGATTATTACGGTTGCTATGATTACTATGATTACACGTGATTCACTGCACTCTACAGTCTATCCCTATGTTCATTATACTCGATTAAAAATTAACAATAGTCCGCAATAATAATAAAGGAAAGTTCACAATTTAATCGGAAATATCATTATTTGCATTGTCTGACCAGGAGGTAAGGTAGTGTTGCCATGGTGATCACGTGAGTATTTCCAGTGGGTTAGCAGCGCTTCTAATTCCCCGACAAAGAAGCAATAAAATCAGACCTGGCTGGCTTATCATACCTTATATGGTTGTGTTGCTATGGTTACATTACCTTATATGGTCATCATAACTACATAAGTCTTTGTTCTTTTGTCGAAGTTCGCAGATTGGGTGATGATTTTGCAAAAAGAGTGTCGATTGTTCAGGTAAATTAACTGTTTTTTGTTGAGTCTCACGGCTAGAGTCTCGCTCACTACTTGGTAGAACTGTAGCAGTGTTACCATGTATACATAACCTTATTTGGGTAAATAGGTTACCATAGTTACCATAGTAACCATAGCAACAGTAAACAGTTATAGGTAAATAGGTAACGTCGTCTGGCGTTTGATTATTATTATTAATGGAGATGTTGAAGGATTATTAAAGGTAAATGGGAGCTTACTTTTTGTATAA